GACCTAATAACCACATCTCAAGCACACAGGGAGCCCTACAGGTGCACAGACAACCCTACAGCCATTACGAATGCAGCACATGAGCCAATGCAATAGGCCAAAGCCCAATCAATAGCACAGACCAACAGACCCAATAACCACCGATACATCTCAAGTACACAGGGAACCCTACAAGTGCACAGGCAACGCTACAGTCACTACGAATGCAGCACATCAGCCAATGCAATAGGTCATAGCCCAATCACGAGAGCACAGACCAAATAACCACAGATACATCTCAAGTACACAGGGAACCCTACAAGTGCACAGACAACCCTACAGTCATTACGAATGCAGCACATGAGCCAATGCAATAGGCCAAAGCCCTATCAATAGCACAGACCAACAGATCAAATGACCACAGATACATCTCAAGTACACAGGGAACCCTAAACTCACTAAAACATGCAGCGAATAAAACCCACAACCCATCAAGAATCAATGTACGAGTGCGTGGTAAACTTTGCCGACGATGGATTGCAGATGATGTCGCTGACAATGGGGCTGTAGGGTATGAGGTAGCCGTGTGCCAGAGATAATAGGACAATCCAGTCTAACTAAAAACAACCACACAGCCACTTAAACTCATGTGAGACAAGAAACTGAACATGAGTCACAGATCGCCCTACAGTGGTACAGTGGATGAACTATTCCCACGCCAATGGCACATACAGGGATGAAGGGCATCGAGAAAGGGACAAAAAAGGCCCTGCAATAGAAAAAAGGACAACTGTGCGAGTGCAAAAGGGACTCCGGATCCTTTAAAACAAGTCAACTGTACTCGGCGGATGTACTCTGTCTATACTTTGCATAGAGAACCATACACACGAAGGGGGTTATAAGACAACCCACAGGGTGCAGTGCGAGACTCGACAGAAACATATACAGCACACGAGCCCGCTAGCCAGCGTCACACAAATGAATACACCACCACTCACTCAATCACGACTATCACCACACACGCACAGGCAACATGTACATGTGATCACGTGTGTGTGATTAAAACAGCGATCTCTGCCCAAAGATCTAACGGACAGTCACCTGCACATCACACTTGATGAGTCAAAGCTCTGTTGACGTAAAGGTACACCATTCGCCCACACACACTCACTAGTTGTTACACGCAGACACGCTTGCAGATGCAGTACCTGATACACTCAGACAGCCCTCCAACAAGGTCATGTTCTTCGACGCTTTAGTCACAGACAGCACAGGGTTGATGAAGACCGTTAGAGGGTACGGGCGGATACCAGCCTCTGTGCGAAGGGCCGGTGGAACAGACGACACGTACTCTACAGCACGCGAGTGAACAGGGCACATCGGGGCACGGTTGAGTACATAAACAATGGTACGACAGAGATAAGATGAACGCTAATCCCACAGTAGATAGGAATATAACAAATAGTATTGGTGAACGATTGTGGTACGATGGAGGATGGGGCGGGTGTTATGAATGTGCGCACTAACAGTTTCAACATCAGGATGAAACATGTGGTACGTCTAGAACGAGCGTGAAGTGTAGAGCGATACATAGAGTGGTGATTGGTGATAGATCATACAAAGTTTCAAACAGGGATAAGACACAGAGCAGAGCCGAAGTCATTGTAGTACTTATATACAATATATATATATATATATATATAATGTGTGTGTACATACATGTGTATTTATAACAATATATACAACAATATATATATAATAATCTATTAATAATATATACAACAATACATAGACAATATGTAACAATATACTAACCAATATATAGCAATATAATAATAATAGTAGAACATATGACATATATATATATATATATGTAATAAATATATATGNATATATATAGTGATATATAT